GATTAATAGCTTAAACGACAGATATTTTCAATATCTACAACTTTTATTTAAAGCTTTTTTCTCTAACTAGCAGTTCTTCCTCGATAAAAGCGAAAAACCCATTTTCTACACTTTTAACCATCATTTGTAACAAGTTCCGGGAAAAAATTTTAAATACATGATAGTAGGGGTCTATCAGTGAAGCGCACACTAAACAATAATGTACTCGGAAATTGGTTAACCCATTTGCATCATGTGCCTACTTTAAGGTGTCGCTTGCTAGCGTCAGCGACGTTCAACTGACGACTGGCCCGTATCACCGCGCGCGGTCGGTCGTATGTGCCGTAAATGACACTGAGTTAATCAAAATTAGATTATTAGATTAGATTATTTTTTAAACTTGAATTTGTTAAATTTGAACATAGATCATACAACTTACTTATGGTGGCACTTAAAAAGATTTTCACAACAGAAGCAAAACTTTTTAAAATATAATTAAGTATTGTAGGCGAGATACCCATAAAGAGAATTAAACGAAATCTGTATCCTCTGAAGAATATTTAGCTACTGTTAATATAACTAGTTGCGTGCTCGCGGATTATTCCGCGCTTGGTGATAGTAGACAGTCGCGATCTGGCGGATTATTCCGCTCTTAGTGATAATTGACAGTCGCGAGCTCGCGGATTATTCCGCGCTTGGTGATAATAGACAGTCGCGGTTCGCGGAATATTCCGCGCTTGGATGCAAATGGGTTAAACATTTTTGCAAAAAATGATGGTTTTTTTTCCCTATTGACTGGACTAATTAGTTTTGGAAGTACGAGAGCGAAGACCTTTGTGGGATTATACAACGCCGTTAAAAGAGCGGTCTCCAAATACGACAAAGTCACTGTGGAATGCAGTTGCCCAAGCCCTGAATAGAAAAATAAGTGCTGAAGTCACCAAAAAAAAGTTTAAAAATTTAGTTGATACATATCGTTCAGACAACTCAACGATTGAGAGATCATCACTCATAATAGAACTATTCTTCAAAATCTGCTGCGGTTCCAAAAGTATAATCCAATCAGAAGTGATTATCTCTCAACCGTTGTACAACTGTTGAGTTGTCTAAACGCACCCATAGACGTATTTTAGTAGCAGAAACCAGGCCAAGTGGATCGGCCAGACTAACAAATAAAAAAAAGTGGCTTCATTATGAATCCATGGAATTTATGAGAGACTCTCTCCTTATAAAAAAGTATAAGACAAATTTGCTTTATAAACTTCTAAGCATTTTATAACTAATATTTTTTTCTGTATTATTTACAGAACTGAAACGTCAACTTTAGAAATAGCAGATAATTCTACTGAATTACTCGATGATCAGTCGTCGCAAGCGTCTTCTAGTGGTAAGGAAATACAAACATTTACAAATAAAACTAATAAGATCGATTTTTTTTAAAATAACACATCATGTTTTGGCTCAATTATTAATATTCTTATTACTATCATGATATCATTTTAGATAACTCAAGAAAAAGAAAAAATAGTAAAAGCGAACGTTTAGAAATACTGTCTAAATTCGCCGACTCACTTGCAACACCAATTTCGTCTCTCGTATTATCGCCTCCACCACAGCGACAACAAGATGAGATTAGTGCCTTTCTGGAATTTCAAGGATATAGATTAAGAACTATGGATGAAAGAAAACAAAGTGTCATGCAAATGATTTTTAATATTATTAATGAGGATGACTCTTAAGATTAATATATGCAGAAATTATAATAACGTATAAAATAAATAAATGATAATTAAATAAGTGATAAATGAGGTGTGACCTCCGGCTCCTTTTGGTAACTCCAATAAATAGAATTAATTAGCAGGGCAATAATGAGCCATGGCAGGATGTTGTGCCGTAGAAAAATTAAAAAATGTAATTGAGACGTTTCGACTTTATTTTTTAAGTCCTTATCAATCTAAAATTACAATCTTAACTTATTTTACAATCAATTATATATACTGGATTAACAATTACAACATACCGTTAATTATAGAGTTGTCAAATTTGTCAGTATAACTCAACATTACAAAATTCAAAACACTTAACCATTTCCGGAAGCAAATGAGTCATGTTTGTCGTGTATTTTGTAACAGACTGAGGAGTTTGAATCAGACATGCGACAACGCTCCATCTATGAGTGTGTTAGTATTCACATTTATCAATATGATCGGTAAATATACATCATTTAATAGTTCTGTGTCTTTCATTAGATTCAAACTCTTCTTCTGCTTTTTTACATATATCATTTCTGAAGTTAATCTTTTAAAATAATTTTTTTCATTGTCTAGTATTCTTGTTAATTCAAAATTAAATTTATGCCCCGTTTCTATTACATGTTTTGCTAAGACGGAAGTTTCTGTTTGTTCTTTTTTAATATAATTATAGTGTTCGTTAAGTCGAGTGAATAATTGTCTTTTTGTTTGTCCAACGTAGCTTGCATCGCATTGCTCACATGCGATGCGATATACAACATTTTTATTCTTTTGTTGGGGCATAATGTCTTTGTGGGTTTTTATGAACTTAGACAATTGGTTTAAATTTCTGTAGGCGGGTTTGAATGTCGTGTTATTAATTTTGAATTTATTGTTATTGTCTATAAATGGCAATAACCATTTTTGGTAGATATTAATATATCTACCAGAAAAATTAATTATTATTCACACAATCCAATCAATCAAAAAATAACAACAATTTATTCATTAGTTGATAGAGCAATATTACTGTCACATCCAAAGTTCCACAAACAGAATCTACAACAATGTATTAACATTTTAATTAACAATAATTATCCCATACAACTAATTTTTGAGAAAATAAATAAAAGACTGAGAACGTTGTTTTTAACTAAACTAAACAATCACAAGATAAACAATACTGATACAAATGATATAACAACATAGAAAAACTGTTTTATTTTGTCATGCCATTTATAGACAATAACAATAAATTCAAAATTAATAACACGACATTCAAACCCGCCTACAGAAATTTAAACCAATTGTCTAAGTTCATAAAAACCCACAAAGACATTATACCCCAACAAAAGAATAAAAATGTTGTATTTTGCATCGCATGTGAGCAATGCGATGCAAGCTACGTTGGACAAACAAAAAGACAATTGTTCACTCGACTTAACGAACACTATAATTATATTAAAAAAGAACAAACAGAAACTTCCGTCTTAGCAAAACATGTAATAGAAACGGGGCATAAATTTAATTTTGAATTAACAAGAATACTAGACAATGAAAAAAATTATTTTAAAAGATTAACTTCAGAAATGATATATGTAAAAAAGCAGAAGAAGAGTTTGAATCTAATGAAAGACACAGAACTATTAAATGATGTATATTTACCGATCATATTGATAAATGTGAATACTAACACACTCATAGATGGAGCGTTGTCGCATGTCTGATTCAAACTCCTCAGTCTGTTACAAAATACACGACAAACATGACTCATTTGTTTTCTGTAATTGTTTAAGTGTTTTGAATTTTGTAATGTTGAGTTATACTGACAAATTTGACAACTCTATAATTAACGGTATGTTGTAATAAATATAAATGATAATTATATTATATTATTATATTAGTAATATTATTAATATTATACTATATTACATCATATTACATTATACTATTACATTATATTATATATATATATATATATATATATATATATACATTATACTATATTCTATTATTATATTATTGTAATAAAAATGTAGGTGCGCACATTATTGTAAATATTGAGACTTGCATGATACATGACACATAATAACAAATGAATGATGGTGATCATTCTATCGCTAAAAATGAGCGACAAGCGACAGCATGAAAAAGCACCTTTATAGCACATGTGACATAAAGTATAGAACATCTATATTGCATTCAATTTGAGAAAAGAAACCAAATGAGCGAAAACTTGTCAGTTTCGCGCATCTCCCTTACTAAAAAATCTCTTTACTCTACAGCCTTTGGCTGTCAAGTGTTCCAACAATCCTGCACGCAACGCTATCCCTACGCTACTTAGATCGCTTTTCTTTTTGTCTATGCGCAGTAAAATTCTTTTTTCAAATTGAACGCATTACAGATAGACCTTAGGTGCGGTCAAAGTCTCACTGCAAATGTTTCGAAGCATTGTTCTATCTTTATTTTTTGTTAACTGTAGAATAAAGATAGAAAATTGCTTCAAAACAGGTGCAGTGGTTTTGGTGCGCTTGTGGCTCTTGAACCGAAATCAGTTAGTCCATACGCCAGTTTGTGTCTGAATGTAGATATAAAAAATGTTATAGCAAAAATATATGCTAAGGAATCTAAAAATTATGTTGTCGATTAAAGAAGACCGAGAATCGATACTTCCGCGACGACAATTACTCACTAACTTTTGTATGAAACAAGTGCAGTGAGACTTTGACCGCACCTCTTGACTTGTACACGAAAGTGCCACATAGTGACGATAAGAGGAAAGACATATTTTGCTCTGGCAATGAAGTCACGCATTATATTGTCCGACGACAATCACGTTTCTTACGTCTTATAAAACCTAATTTTTCGGGATTTTGGACTTTGTATCAAGATATTTCCGTTGGGAAGGCACGGACAAAAAAATCGCCGAATACTTTTTTTTGTGAGTAAAAGTATCCTTGATCTCAACTTTTGATTGAGTCTAGGCCAAACTCGATCAGTTTAGCCGTTGTTGAGATCTGAAAATCTCAAAATTGTCAATCGTCCTTACTCGCGTAAATAAATGAGGCACGGAGTACCTCGCGCAGCGCGCGCACACTTTGTTGGCGTGTATACTTAGCGTGATGCACTACCGTGCCTCTTGATTATTTCTAAGCTTCTGTATGTATTTACACTGAATTAGCGCACTAAGTATGACAAAAAAGAACATAATGAGACACTCAGATTATGATTTGACTACCTAGTTGATGAGAGAAATAAAAATATTGTAATGACAGAATAGGTTATCATATGCTATCATTATGAATAAAAAAAAGAGTTCAAAAGAGCAGTACATACTCATTTTTAAAAGCACTATGTAGTTCTTTATATTTATTTGGTTCTGTAGAAGCATTTTTCATGTAATGCAGTACACAAAATTAAAAATTAAAGAAATTTAAGTTTCTAAAACGATTTACAGGTTTCTGTAATCGGTATTCAGTACCTTCTTAAGACTAAAAGACATCTGTGAGCTACTCTTTGAATCAGTTGACTGTCATTCGTGAAAGCGATCTGTGATCTGTCCGAAATACTTGTGTGTTCGATGTTCACATGTCACGACAATTCGCGAATTTATGAAGTTACTGAGTAGATTGTGGCGTCCTTTATTACGTACGTTTGTAAGTACTTTGCAAATTTTACTGTTGTTGCGGAAGAACTTTGAGTCTGGCATACATAACATGCTGCTTATTGCATCTCATATTGGATGTGAGGGAAAGAGATAGAATAAAAATTCCTGATTTTTAAGTTTGCCAACTTTGATTAATTTAATTAGTGTAGATTGACAAAACCAATTATATTACACTATAAAAATATGATTCATAATGTCGTTGAAAATACAATAGCCATCACTCACTTTACTTTATTATCTGTACTAGAGAGCTCTCAGGAAGAGTCGCAAACTCGTGACGTCAGTAGGTAACTTTTTCCTCTGTTCAATCAGAAGTGACTGTAACGTCACGAGGGCTGCGTTCGGAGAGCACGCTATCAGCGCTATTGCGTCATTCTATCTTTGTTTTAGCTGATAGCGCGCTCCTCGAACGCACCCGAGTTTGCGACTCTTCCTGGGGTTCCAAAATCTTACGTGATAACCGAAAACTATAGTACACGTGACGTGAAATATAGCATTTTAGTAACCAAGGTAGGATTTTGGAACGTATCCTGGGAGACTCTAGTAAGGCTGCTTTCCTTTTAGGAGACACAAATCGACACAGATTAACACACTCGAGCACAGTTTGCCACAGTAAATGGAACGCGATATATACAGTGTGTGTACGAACAGTACAAACTTGTAATATACATAACTTAAC